CACACAACATCTGGGGGGGATACAATGGGAAGAGACCATCACTGCACCGAGGTGACAAGTGTCACAGTGTCATGTCACCCAACACAAAGGCAACGTACACATTCCACCCAACGACTACCCGGCCCGGAGGGGGGGAAGCGACCATTACAAGGTTACATAGCGCCGTCATAGCCAGTGGCGCAGTACAAAGTAATAGAAAAAAAAACAAATACATCAAATGTTTCCATTGGCCAGTAAGCAGAGTCATACGGCATTTACAAGGTATGGAATCCATCGATATGCAACGCACACACACCTGACCCAGCCCAGCGGGGGCGAAAAGACTCATCTGAAGTTATAAAGAGCGCCATCATATACAGTAGCGCAGTACTACGCAATGCAAAGAGTTCCAACCGATACAGAAAATGTAAATCTATCAAATGTTTCCATTGACCGGTATGCGGAGATACCGAGCAATGACAAGGTGTGGGATCCATCGATACACAAAGTACACGCACCGTACAGACCCAACAACTGACCCGGTGTTCTATCAAAGATTGTGACTGCGTTAGAATGTGTGACCGCTCACGTGACCACACTGTTTAACGTAATCCCGCCCACTTTTTCGATGTTGGAATATGTGACCGGCAAAAGGAGAAGAATTCCAACGCTTTGTCAGCTGTTCCGGGGCAGATCGGTGCTCTCCCGCACATACCGATCTCCGATGCCGAGCTGCCCGGGAACAGCTGACAAAGAGTCAGAATTCTTCTCCTTTTGGGCGGGATTACGTTAAAACATACGTCACACATTCTAACGCAGTCACAATCTTTGATAGAACACCGGCCCCAAGGATAAAAAAAAAGACTTAGGCCGGGGTCACACCTAGGCGGGAACATTTCTGCGCAGCGTGCGGTCTGTTCAGCGTGCGGAAAATGTGCAGCGTGCGTCTCCCGCACGTTTTTGGGCGATTTCATTGAAGTCTATGGGGGCAAAAACTTGGTTTTTAACTGCCCAAAGAAGCTCCGGCACCTTTTCGGGCGTTTTTCTGCTCGGGTGAGAACAGGGGACATTGGAAAATATACACACACACGAATCTGTCATATAGCACCATCATAGGCAGTGGTGCAGTACAAAGCACCATGACGGATAGTAAAGTTTGCGCAGGCGGCTCCGGTCACACTCCCGGATGAGGAGATTTCGCTCCCAAAAAAAGGTGACAGTTGTCTTCAGCCGAGTCCAATGAGAGTGGAAAATGACAGTCACATGACCTCCAGAAAGAGAACTTAACTTTGTGTATTGAGCCTCAGGTCAAGG